TTCATGAGGGAGGGAGGGGCAAAAATGAGGAGCTGATTATCAACGGCTCAAGTAGAAAGCAAATGTTTTGAGAATGATGATTGCAACAAATGTACAAATGTGCTTGACACAATGGATTGATGTATGGATTGTGATAAGACTTGTACAAGCCCTCAATAAAATGATTTAAAAAAATTAACACTAGTCAGCTATAAATGGGCTGGATATTGTGAAATGTGTAAAGTTTGTGAAAAATTCAAATATTTGTATGGTTCTACTTAACTCACAGTAGGAATCTGGGTAAAGCTTAGCTGAGTTTCTCTTCCTCAAAGTCTTTCAGAAAGTGGAACTCAAGGGTTATGGTCTCATCTAAGGTTTGGGCTGGGGCACATCTATTTCAAAGTCACACCTGCTGTCATTGTCAGCGCTCAGTTCCTCCCAGGGTGTTAAACTGACGCAGCCCTCTGTTCTTTGCCATATGTGCCCCTTTAACGGGCAGCGTACCCACCAAGACTAATTTTTCTGAGAAAGAGCAGGAGACAGTACCGTGGATACAAGTAAGCCTTTGAAAAAGATGTCAGAAGTGACATTCTCCCACTTTTGCCTTATTCTATTCATTCAAAGTTAATTCAACCCATGACAGAAATTTTTTCCCTGGCTTTTTTTTTTCTTTCCCTCCCCGCATGTTCTCCCACTGACTTGGTACTTCTGCTACAGGTGAACACGCTGTGTGCGGGCTGCTTAAACATGCAAGATTTGCTGCTTAAGGCTAGAACGAAGCTGGTTCCCAGTCCCTCATGAGCAGCAGGCATCCACACCCACTTACCAAGGGGGCCTCTAGCCTTCCGCCTCATCACTCCCTGTTTTGCAGGTGCTGAGTTTCAGAATCCTTTCCCTGGCTTTTTGAATGTTGATGGGGTCTTCTACTTCTTACTCATCATTTTTGCCTTTACACAACAGGATCTTATCCTTACCACCTTAGGACAATTTGCCTTCATTGTTTTCTGTAGGGTTTCCCAGGTGTGAAGCACAGGAGGGATAGATGTGTGATGATAATAACTGATGCAGGTGTTACAGGAAATGCAGGGGTGGGAGATGGGCCATAGGGAGGGAAAGGGGATTTCGGGAGTAAACAATGAACGTGGCAGTGCATAGGGAACACTAGAACTGATCACGACTGCACAACTCAATTTATAGGCGATAAATGGCGAGGCTTGAGGGTGGGAGTGGGGGGTGGAGGCTCTAAGATGACTGTGGTGGTGGTGATTGTACAACTCCCCTTGATGTGATTGACCTGTTCAATTGTATGATATGTGAATTATGCCAATAAAATTGTTGGGGGTGATTCTAGGGAAGAGAATTTCACAAAGGTGTGCATGTGTAAACAAAGAAAAACTGACTATTGGGACCATCTTAAAGGTTGCCTACCACAAAATGTGAAACAAATTAAAAAGGCCATATAGTGTCACTTCAACATAGGTGGCAAAGCTGGAACTGGAAGAAACAGCAGCTCACGCCTGAGTGGAAAAGCGCATTTGCACCCTAGCTCGTGTGCATTTCAGCTCTGGGAGGTTTCATTTCAAGTGGGTATAATATCAAATAAAAATGCATCAGCGTTTTATTAACTTATTGATATCTTATTACCCTGACATTGGGCACTATAAAAATGTTTTAACTTTGTTTTTTTAATACTTATCAACTTGACTTTCTAACTGAACTTTTTCTTTAACGAAATATTTTCAATTATATCCCACATCCCTTCTCCTGGTCCTTCCCCGGGTCCACTCCTTCCCGGCCCGCGCATTCTCCTCCTATATCCAGGGTACGCGAGTCACTCCTGGTCTAGGAAGGTTCTCTGAATCCTCCGGCTCTACTCTGACTGGTTTCCCCGGTTCTTCCAGCGTCTCCCGGGCAGAGATCCTAAGCCATCCCCACCCTGCCTTTCCCCAGGCTTCCCGGCCCCTTCAGCCCCCGTGTGCCGAGCCCGAGCAGAGTGCCGGGCCTGGGACCTTTCTCACGGCCCGTGTCTTCGCAGGCACCCCGGGCCCGGTCCTCACTTCCAGTCGGTCCCGATCCCGTGGCCCGGGCTTGCCCCGCAGATCCGGGGCTGGTGGGTGCAAAGGGCAGGAACTCGCGTAGAGGCGGATGGCGAGCCCGGATGTGACGCGTCGTGACGTCGCCGTGCGTGCGTGCGTGCGGGGCGGCTGCGTCGGGCTGCAGGAGAAGATGGCGGTCTCCACAGGTCGGTCTCCCAGGCCAGGCTGCTAGCTTTCCCTGTGCGACTCGGTGGTGCCCGCCGTGCCTGCTGCTGGCAGCCGGGCGCTCGAGGGTGGGGGAGAGTGGAGTGCGCGCTCTCGGACGCGCTCCCTGGGGAGCAAAGCTCCGAACTGGAAGGTTGGGCCGGGCCGGGCCGGGCCGGGCTGCCGGCAGGAGGTGGGGGTGCTGGTCGCGTTCGCGGGCCGGCCGCGGGCTGGGGGGGCCGGGGCACCGGCTTCAGGGTGCAGGTGCGCGATTGCCCCGCGTCGGTGCCAGGTGTAACTTCTGAGCCGAGGGAGGTGCGGGAGAAAGGAGAGGAGGCCTAAGATGGGCACGGAAATGGGTCGACCCGCGAGCGTTCTAGGCTTGGTGGAGGTTCTAGTTCAGGACTCGCCTCCGCTTGGGTAGGGGTGTGATTATTAAGGAAGAGAGGACTATTGCTCATTAAATAGGGGAAACATCATTTTTATCCGATGGAAATCATCTTTGAAGAGCAACTACAGTGCATACAAAATGAAAGTATAGAGCAAGATGAAAGCTATCAAGCGGTTTCTTACATAAGCTGTTTAACTCTACCTGCCGGAAACAGTGTTTAAGAGGACAGATTTTGAGATGAAATGTTAATTGAGGTTTTTGAAACTTGACCGTTTAGAAAATTGTTACGTTAAAAAATGTTAATACGTATCACCTGTCATGTATCTAATCTTTATTGAATCACTAGGTTATAGAGCTGTGACTTGACATTCATGCCATCATTGCAGAAAGAATTTTAAAACGTAGCAAAATAAAAGGTTTCAAATGTATGGGTGCTACTTTTAAGATAATACCTTAGGATTCATTTAGCATATTCTTGCTGATAGGTGCCATCAAATTGGTTCCAACAGCACAACAGAATGAGTTTTAATACAAAGTCTTTTAAATCTCAAGTTAACAAGTATCATAAACAATCAGATCTTTAGCAGTTACCAACCAAACCAAGCTCACTGCCACCCAGTCCTATTCTGACTCAGGGCTACACTGTAATAGGACTGAGTAGAACCTCCCCAGTGGCCTTCCAAGGCCTGTACCTTTTTACAGACGTAGAAAACTTCATCCACATGGTTAGCAGCCTGGCTGATAGCCCACTAAGCCACCAGAGTTCCCCTAAGCAGTTACAGTCCTGGGGAAATATTTTTATATATTTGGGGTTAAAGGTAACTAGCAAAGTAAGGATTACTAAGAAAATGCCATTATAGTATAACATGTAAGAGAGTGTTAGAATATTTTGAAAAGACTAATATCAATGGATCTGCATTTCCTCTTAACCACTTCTAGTCATTTTTGGAAGTTGAGTATAAATTATAAAAGACTTGTTGCTAGGTAATTAGCATACAGTATTGGAAACCTATATTTTACAGTTTATCTCACCATTCTGTTTGTTAAAATTTTACTGTCCATAGATTTTTGATATTCGAAAGTTTGGCATAATTAAGATGTTAATTGATTTTTCTTTTTTAAAAAAATTTTTCTTAAACCACTGAAATTATGTTTGAATCTGTTGATGTCAAGTCATCCTGATTAATTTCTTACTGTGCCATTGGGCCATTCTGTGTTTTAGATGGTTGAGTATTGTCAACCTGAGAGGGAGATGAATATATTAGTAGTTTTGCACTGCTTTGAAACGAATCATTTTTTAAATACACTCGTAGCAATACTTTTGCTACTTTTTTGTGGCATGGGAAGGAAACAGTACCTACATATTTGTGTAATAAATAGGCATAGACTTAAGTTTAAAATTGGATGCATACATTATGCATTTTTTAAAAATTAAGCCAAATTCTTTTGATAAAAATAGTCGCTGGGTAATCATAAACAAACAAAACCTGACATTTGTCTATCTTTATTAAAATATTATTTATCTTTAAAGTATATGGTGTTTTTGGTGAAAGTTTACATAGCAAATTAGATTCCCAGTTAATCAATTACACAAATTGTTCAGTGATGTTGGTTACATTTTTTTTACAATGTGTGAACACTCATTGCATTCTGGATGCTTCATTTCTAGTAATCTAGTTTCCCTATTCCCTTACCTTTCATCGTTGCTTTAGAGCACTGTTTACCAAAGTGGGGAATACCAATGCCATCACCTTAGGGTCACTGGCATGATCTAGGGGGGTATTGTGAAAGAGGATACATATACTTTATCCTGGATTCTAGGCTATAATACAGTTTTTAATTGGTTGGGTGGGAGTACTGAGAAAATTTTTTTCTGAAAAGGGGGAAGTAGATCAAATAACTTTGGGAACTTGTGCTTTTGGGCAACAGTTGACCATTTGGTCTCACATAGATAATTTTTAAAGGTTCATGGTACTCAGTGGTAATATTCTTTATTTTATGAGCTGATTTGTTATATCACTAAAAGGTAACTTCAGAGGCTAGTTTTGGTTCAAGGTTTTGTAGAATATCTCATGGTGAGAGTTTCAGGGAATCCTGTAGTCTCAATCAGCCCAGTAAGTCTGGAATATTTAAGAATTTGACTTTCTGTTTCACATTTCGGACCCCTTTTATCTTCATCTGTGGTGATCCTGATCAGATTGGTCATTAATGGTAACTGGACACCATCTAGTTCTTTTGGTCTCAGTGCATGTAAAATGCACACATGCACACATAAAAGGGTAAGTCAAAAAGCATTGCTACAAAATATTTGCAATCTTTATTAAATAAGAATATTAATGTTAAGCCATTCTTTCCAGACACAATCTCTACCTAGGTCTATACACTTCTGAAGATGGGTTTTCCCTCTCTCACTGGAAGTTTTGGCATCATTGAGAGTCTCAGATTGTGTTCCTTTGAAATGGTCTTTGATTTGGGGGGACAAAAGGGTCTGTAAGATGGATAGGGGAAGGTTCCCAATGAAATTATTGTAGGACAGTCCTTACTACACGTAAAAAAATGAGCAAGTGCATTGTTGTGATAGGGGAGGGTGATCCCTCAGTTCAGTTTTCTTGGCCCTTTCCTCGCCAATGCAGTTTTCAATTTTCTTAAAACTCCTGCTAATCCCCTGTGATCGTCATATGTCTTTTAAGAAAATCTATCAAGATTAGTCCTTTGAATTCTCTGCTTTGAATTTAACTGGCTCTGCAGATCCCCTTGGAAGCCACTGTTTTATTTGGACCTTCATTTTGAAAACACCCTAGCGAGGCTAAGACAAGTGTGGTACTGAGAGACCTTGTCTGTAGCCATGCATGATTGCAGAGCCATGTTTCAACGTGTTTTCAATGAAAATATGCAAACTTGTGCATATGTTACCTGGAGCCCTAGTAGCATTTAAAAAAAACTCCATGTGTATGTGTAATTTTATTATATTTGTCACATTTACTTACATGTAATATATTTTTCTTTTTTTTCATGTAATATTTAACAATGCCAGATTTAATGAAATAGTCTTACTGTGACGTCTAGTATGCATTGTTTTAGTGAGCTTTTTGTCTGTTTTCCCGTACAAAGTTTAAAACCCACTGAGAAACACCATTATCACTTTTGCAAGTTAAAGGATTCCTTGAGGAGGCTGTTAGAGGAGCCCTGGTGGTGTTGTGGTTATACATTGGGCCGTGATCCAAATGGTTGTCAGTTTGAAACCACCAGCAGCTCCAAGGGAGGAAAACAAGGCTTCCTACTCCTATGTACAGTCTCAGAAACCCACAGTGGGGTTTCTGTGAGTCGGCATTGACTTGATAGCAGTGTTTGGTTTTTGGAGGCCTTCGATTGATAGATTATAAGAAAATAAAGCAAGAAGTAAACCACATGGAAGGAGCCTTTTTTTGCTAAAGAAATTACAAGTTTCGAAATGAGATTAACAACAGAAACAAGTAGAGGGATATACATTTTCCATTAGTAAAGTTAATGAAATAATGTCTTTGCTCTGGGGTTACAATAATGGAAGAATTAGAAATACAGATAATGTGACATTTTTAGCTTATATCACAAATAACCAGCTTCAGTAATTTGCCAAGTAGGGAAGACTACACTACTGCAATGGGACCAGTTCCCATTGGGAAAGATCCTAATTATAGTCTGGAATTTGTTCAGTGTAAAGTGTTTGAGGCTGATGTATAGAGTTGTCCAGTAAGATATAGGAAATAGTAAAGTAATTTTGGCAAAAATTATGATCCAGAGATCTGACAGCTGATTTTTAATTTTTCTAAAAATACAATGTAAATTAGACTAGAAAACCATACAAAACTTAAAAACTGTGGGCACTGTCACCGTTTAAAAAGAAAACAGGATGGAAGCCTGCACAAGTATTACCAGAGAGGGAGCCAAGAGAAAGGAATTGAAGAGAAAACCGTCTCCAAGGAAAGCTTGTGAATAATTGCTACAGAGTTTAGGAAGATAGGCTCCGAGACTGAGTATGAAAATAGATTAAAATCATGGTCAGAGGATATAAAACTTGTGAAAGTTGTACTCCTAAGAACAATCACCTGTACAAGATCAAAAGGGCAGCATTTGTCTTAAAAGACAGATGGCAGAAAATGGTAGGAAAGATGAATGGGAACAGGCTCCCCAGAAGGAAGTATGCCATTACATCGAAAGGAATGCCACTAATATCATAAAACAAAAGGTGTACATATTGGTGAATTAGAAATTTTCCATGTAAACGATCACCTAAATCATAATAAAATGTTTTAACAAAACAAAACATGATCAATTGCCATATTTTATCTATCAGCAGCATTTAAACACGTAGACCATCTCTTCATTCTTACCTTGACGGCAAGACAACATTCTCTGGGTTTTTCTCCTACTTTGTGGAATATTCCTCAACATTCCTTGCTGCTGCTTCCCAATCTCTTTCTTTGTGTTGCAGCGCTCTCAGGTTTAATCCTCTTCACTCACTCTACAGTTGATCGGATCAAGCTTTCAAATTCCTCATCTATAAAGTTTTCATCTTTACCCAGGAACTTCTCTTAGAACTTAACTACTTCCTTGACTACTGTTAGAACTGTT